TATTCTATTTTTCTATTTATGTGTGCCACTCCAGGCGGATGCAGCTTCACATGAGCTTGTTGAAATGTTAGTGCTCTTCCTCAGCATGAAGCTAAACACTATGAATGACTTCCAGTCTGCCTCGCTCTTGTACCACTGAGCTCCTTAAAATGCCAACAGGTGTCCGATACCTTAGGATCTTTCCTACACATGCAAATACGCAACATATACACACACACACACACACACAACAATACACAATACACTGAAAGCCATTTCTACACACAGACATACACAAACACACAAACTTCTGTAAGCATTTCTAGTACATGTTTGTCTGTGGCAGCCGGCGTTGTGTGAGGGGAGCTGCGGCCAAAGGACTCTTCAAACATTGAGCTCCCTCTCCGCTCTGCTCAGAGTGCTGAAACATTTCTGAATGATGATGGGAAAATATCGTTAAAGTATTAAAATGATTTTTTTCTAAGAAATGACGTGGTCTTCTGTTTGTGTGTGTGTGTGTGGTTCTACCTCTGGTCAGTTAAAACACCCACAAATATTAATAGTGGTTAGTTCATGTAAAGAAATGCATGTCTAACTTGAGAGTTTGTTGATTAATTCGTCAGCTTCTTAGTTATGTTTTTATTTTCTCATACACGTTCTCGCATTAAGACACCAGAATACTGCAGTGCTCAAATTTATAAAAGACATTTTATTCAAAAACGTTTGAATGTTTAAATGATCATAAAACTAGCAGCTATGAACCATATCTTAATCTCATTTAAACCACTTTACAAAGAATGAAGTTACATTTCATTGTGAAGTATCAAATGTAAAACTAAGGTTTAATTCATGAAAACCTTTTGGTTACACACAAAGCTCTTCATTACACCTGTTTTAATGAGACAGCGTCTTTGTTCTTTAGATTTGCACCAAATATTACATTTCTTATACATGATGAACATGAGGTTCACATCCCCGATGATAACCAGTGTAAGCTACTGCACTGTACAACATTTAGTGTATAGTTGGGATGCAGCTTATGTCTCTGTCTCTGAATGAAAAGTAAAAGTCAGTTCAGTGCAGGAATTATTTAAAAAAACTATTTGTACATTTTTCACATAGATGAAACTGATATGGTACAAAGATACTGAGACACTCTCCTCTCACGACTTCCCAGAAATCAGGCTGCGCAAATGTTTTAAAACAGAGCAAATAAAATGTTTTGTTCTCGATGTACGACAATCAAAACCACTCAGGAATAATTCGACTCCTTCATGAGATGCTTTAATACTGAATAAACATAAGCCGCCTTCACTGTCAAGGGATCTTTGCTTGAGAAATAGTCTAATCTCCCCCCTTTTTTCCAGTCATAAGTCACGTCACTCTGCTCCCTCCCCTGACTATCACTTCAGCCCTGACAGAGGCCTCAGGCTGCAGCCGCAGTCATCTGTCACACGGGCCAGAATATCACAGAGAGGGAGGAAGTCTGATGTTTCTTAATGTTTTATAGCTCAGACCTGAGCACCTGGTGGCCTCGGCAGATATTTTCCCGTCCTCACACTCCTCTTTTCTGCTTCTGCTTATCGCCTTAAATTAAAGATGACGCGTCAACAAGCACAAACACTCTAAACTTTATCACCCTCTACATTAACTTTTCCCCTCGCAGCTCCTGAGGTACACATTCCATTTATAACATTCACCATCTCTTCTCCTCCTCATCCCTTTATCTAACAAACCTCAGCACATCATTTTGCCTCCCTACACCCAGCACCCCAAACACACAACAAACACTAAATACCCACACCCGCCCTGCCCCCATTAAGCCTAAGGCAGGAGGGGTGGGTGGGTCAGGGGCCAGAGTTCCAACAGGGGTCAACAGGAAATGGCTGTTGTCCCCGGCACCAGGGCCCTGACCTCGGTACCCCTCTGCTTTTCATTTCTCTTTGTCCCCTTACACACTGACTCCTCGGCCATGTGGTTCAGGACGAGCCCCTCATTTCTGCTCTTTCTCCTCCTCACAGGATGTTTGTCTGGAATATCACTGTCATGTAAAATAGTGCAGGAACTTTAGTTTCATACTAAACTGTTTTCAACATCAGTGCAACCTCCTGAAGTTCTGAGAGTGACCTCTGATTTACCATAAAGCTCTTTGTGAGACTACATGGGTAGATTTTGCTTTCAGCTCTCCAAATCGTACTTTAAATAAAGAATAACGAGTCTCCTCTTCCTCTCGTTCAACAAAAATGAAGCTAAAATATATAATATATTAAATTGTTTGTATTCATTTTTGATTTACTCCCTCTTGTGGAGGCAGGGGGTTATTGTCTTGAGAAGCCAGTTACACTTCCGGCTGCTCCATCTATCGTTTTGTCATATCTCTCGTATTCTCTAGTATCTTATTAGTTTAATGAAGCGTCTGGTTGTCACCTTTGGGCAGATCCAGGCTAGTTGTTTCCCTCTGCTTCCAGTGTTTATGCTAAGCTAACCAGCTGCCAGCTATGGCTTCATATTAAAAGGTCAGCGTGCAGGATTGAGTGGCGTCTAATTGAAAACCCCTCTCGTCACCCTCTCCTTTCAAGCATCAGGAGCATCACCTTTATGTAACATTCAAATCCTATAGAGCCAGTGTTTGGTGTATCTACTCTGGGCTACAGTGGAAACTTGCAGACAGATGTAAGGGCTTATTCTATAAAGGTAATAAAAACATAATGAATCTTGGTTTCAGGTGATTATACACCGATGAAAACAACAATAAGAATATTAAATTAGTGTTCTGCCAATAGTTCTCTTTAAATCTTCCACGCTGGAGCTTTAAAATGTGCATTAAGAGTGGCATCAACCTTCTCATCTAATTCTCAGTAATAAAGTGAATAATCGTATCTCCTAACATGATGAGGATTCATTCCATCAGATTTTTTAAAATCTCAGTAATGGTACACTCTCTTCCTTCAGCTCCACAGTGTCTTGACTGGACTCCATTTATAATGTATGAATATCACCTCCCTAAAGATTTTCTTTTTCTCTCCAGCTGTTAGAAAGCACTGATCCTAACGTGTGTAATCCCACAGCATCACAACCAGGCAGGGGTCGGGGCAGAAACAGCCACAGCACATGCAGCACTTCATCCATACGTCAGTGTTGAAACCTCACACAACATAACTCACGGTCAGAGGCTCAGCTTGTGATTGGCTGCCCTGTCTCTCACCGACACACACTCCATTAGATGCTGGGAATTACTCTGCGTACGATCTGACAAAGGGAGAGGAGAACACTCTTATGTGAATTTGCATTTCAGTGTTTGTGCACAGAAAGTCATTTGAAGCCAATAGCACACGGAGGAGCGTGTGTTATTTAACCTCAGACCTTCACAAATCAGAAACAAGTATAATTTATGTATTATACATAAGTCAGTTAAGTTTTCTTACACTGACAAAAATCATTTCACATTAGTTGCATTGCAGTGCTGGTACAGCGTTGGCCCTCGTGTGCAGGATGTTTCATATGCGTTGAGAGTATATCGCTGCATTCCTTATAATGTTTCCATCATTTCAAGACTCCCACTGCTTTGAATTTCATCATTTGGGCTATCGAAGCAAAATGGATGCACGTGTGTAACGTGAACAGCTGCGTGTGTCAGCGCATGAATATGTGTGTGCATAAATATGTACAATTCAATTTTAACATAATGTGTGTGTGTGTGTGTGTGTGTGTGTGTGGGAGTGGGAGTGGGAGTTACTCTGGTGGTCATTAATCATTCAATTACACACCTGTCAGAGTTCAGACAAGTGGGAGAGAGGGAGGGGAAGGGAGGGATGGGGTAAAAGAGAGGGGGGGGGGGTAATGGAGGAATGCAGCAGGGGAGAAAGAGGAAGAGCAGGGAGGAACTGAAAGATGAAGAGAGGGATTGAAAAAGCACCAGGATGGCTGTAAAGAGAAAGAGAGAAAGTTTTATTGTGGGCGTGTGAACGAGCTGTGACAGAGGCAAGCTGCCGGATGGTGACAGCCGCTGAAAGGCCGCAGTAAAGACAACGACACGTACATGTATTATAAGGGACAAGTGACAGATGAGCACGAGGCAGGACAGGACAGTAAAGACGCAGCCAAACTCTGAGCTTCATCCAAACTGACGCAATCCTGAGCTGAAAGGGAAGCAGAACCAGAAATGATGACTTCCAGGTTGTTTTCACTTCTGTCCGTTCAAGAATCAGCTGAAAGAATGTGGTACAGGTCAGGGGAGAGGAGACGACATTCGGGTGCGGATCTGGATCAGGAAGCAGATATAAGAGTTTCCCCCCCCCACACACACATTTTCACCTCTCAGGGAGTAATTCATGAATCTTGATGAAAGGAATCTGGCAGGTTTAGGGGACTGGTGTTTATGAGTGGGGTGATGTGGTTCAGCTTGATTGAATTTAAATGGACTGTTGGGCCTCGGTGGAGGTATGATGTTTACTGAGTGCCATTCTACTTGTTTTTTTATTTGCATAAAAATAGACCAATATTCTACATTTAAAGCATTAAAAAAACTCCCTTTTAACATTTTGAGGCTGATGCATCAGTGACAATAAGACAAATTCACAATGATTTCTATTAATAGCTGGCTATTTCTGAGGTACTTTGTACAACACTGGCTTCCTGTTTCAACTGAGAGCTGAAACTTTTACTGTCCTCATTTTAATCATCAGACAAGAACATCGTTGACCTCAAATGTTCCATGAATAAATATAAATAAATAAATAAAACCACAACATGAAAATATGTCCGACAATGATCTGAAGTAAAAGTGTTTCTCAGCTCAGAAGCTTATAATTATTTTCATTATTGATTTACTTGATGACAAATTGCCTTTTAAATGTAGAGGAGCAAATTGGAACACTGAATAGAAATGAAGTTGACTTGAATTAGAATGAAATTGAATAAACACATGTAACTCAAATTTGAGTTATAAGGTATAAAAATCACACCATCCGTCTTTATCCTAATATTTCATACTGTTTGACTGAGCTCTTCACAATCTAAATGTTATAATTTCTTTAATTGTTTATTGATAGTTGTGCATGATCGGAGAAAATAGTGCCGGTGTGTTGTTTGTGCTGCATGTGTCACCTTCTTATACAGTATATGTTTAAGTGTTTGTATACGTGAGCAGCCCCCATCTGTGTGTGTGTGTGTGTGTGTGTGTGTTGCAGTCTCCATGTTTAGCTGCAGTACGTGAAATGCCTCAGGCCACAACCATCTGTCCCCCCTCCCTCATTTTACACACACACACAAACACACACATACACACTCTCTTCTCCCCTCCTCCCCCCTCCTCAACTGCCTCCACCGCTGCCACATATCTAATTTATGGCTGTGGTGAGTGCGTTACACAGACTCATGTATGCATAATATATCACGTGTGTGTGAAAGAGCTGTGTGTGGTACGGAGAGTGTGCGACACTGTTGACTGACCAGCAACATCTTGACCACAACTCCTTCGCCAACACATCCCAACTGTGTGCTTGTGTCTGTGAGTGTGTGTGTTGAATGTGTGATCCAACATGTAGCACTGTCTTTCTTCCAAAGTCTTACACCAGATCTGACAGCACTGATAAAGTGAGAGAGGAGAAAGGGAACGTCTGTGTGTGTCTGTGTGTGTGTGTGTGTCTGTGTGTGTGTGTGTGTGTGTGAAGGCCCAGCTGTTTCTGGGCTTGACATCCACATGCAGGCAGAATGCCAGATGTCTCATTAGGCAAATTTGATTGGCTCGGTCATTTAGAATGCAGCGATGAGACGCTTCCATATGTGTGTGTACATTTACATAAGAGGCCCCCCTGTATAACTATTGACATGTGTACATGTATGTGCATCCATTAACTATTTTTCTAACCTTTGTATTTACATGCAGTTAATTACATAGTAATTGCAAAAAAGACCCAGATAAACTATATGTAAAATGAATATTATAGAACAATGAACTGGAAAATACAGTTTAATTAATAATACGTAAAATAGATTGAGATGAAATGTTGCCAACTCTGCATCCAAATTCATTTTCATGCTCCACAATATTTTTTAAACTATGTGAAGCAGCCGGCGATTCAGATTTCTTTGCTGTTGTCGTTCTACAAGTGCTTCACTGAATAACTTCAAATGTCAACTGGTGAATTCAATGCAATAAAGTTTCTACTTTCACTGCTCGTGTTTTCACTTCAACTACTGTAACAGCTTATTATGTAACTTTTAAGTTGACATTCAGTTTAACGGCCTTTTCAATCTCAACTTCTGGTTTATCGTCTCTCCTTGTTAACTGATTTATAAAAAACTTTTCACACAGGCAATTTATGCAATTCAGAGTGCACTTTAAGTATAAGTACTATAAGTAAATTTGTTTCTCAAGTTTTTGGAAGAAGCAGCTGAGGTGTACAGATAAAATATTTAGGGGAGAGGGAAGCAAAAATAATAAACATGTCATTCAACTTATTCAAAGTGTCATCGCAGCACCTTCTGAAGTTTGACTTCCACTGAGGTCACTTCCTTTAATCTTGCAGTAAACAGCTATAAATATGAACATGAGTCACTTTCAACTCCTTCAATGCAGTATATCTGCCATTTCGACTTTTTGCATCACTCCCACATGTCATTTTGTTGAGACCTTAACTTCAATAGCTTCTTCCGCGGACATTTTTTTTCTTCAAATCCCTTCAGCTTCTTAAATCTATGCAGCCACTTGAAAGAAAGCGCTTCAATTTCAACTGCTTCTTCAGGGCAGCCTTAAACACACAACACATGTACAGTTTTTTAATAATGTTACTGTATGCAATACTGGTTTGTGTATGCATGTATGTGTGTGTGTAATGTGTTGGAAGAAATAGGCAGTTGCTGCATTCACTAACATGGTTTCTCAACATATTTAGAAAATACAGAAATAAATCCATATTTTATTACTTTTCCTGTTTAATTTATTTCCTACTATAGATTATACCTCCCTGCATAAAAAAAAAAAAAAATCTAACCTATGTATTCTACTGTAAATACATAGAAGCTGTAAACCTTACAACAGGGTTAATGCTGCTCTCTAGTGGTCCAAAAGAAGACATATACTTGTGTTTGGAAAAGTACTTAGCTGATACCATCATATGTCTTTTTGAACTTGTTGAGAAGCACTTTTGAGTTAAATTTCAACAATGAATTTCCTACAAAACAAGATCGATTTATCCGAAATCAGCTGCTGAAGAAAGCACAACACATTTAACAACAGGAGCGTTTTTATTTAACTTGTGTTTGCTCTAGTCTTTTTGCAAATTCTCATTTGTATTTTAATATATGCACTCATCAAAAATAACTTCACTTTAAATTAAACAGAATATAAAATAATTCCAGTTCATGTTGCCCTTTACGAAATGTAATAGTCTCCAAACAAATACAAAATGAATCAGACGATAAGGTTTAACATAACTCTTGTATCATTAAATCTGAGCTGTAGTTTCTGAGGAAACTTAAGCACATTTCTGAGGAAAAGGTGGACTGACAGCTGACAACTGGGAAACTATAATGAAGTGATCAGAGTGATCAATTATTACATATAAATAAGTTAAATATCAGCTGAAGGGAAAAACTGATCCTCTGATATATTTACACAGGGAGTCTAAACATGTCATGTTTTCTATAAAGTTTAATTTATTTACAATCACCTGCAACATGAAGTCTTTTAAGCCAGATTAACTAAAGAGTTATATTTGCACATTTTATTTGAAAAGGTTTTTTGTAATTGGGATAAAAAAAAATTATTTAAAATTGTATTTATTTATTTTTTAACAGAAAATTGTTAGATCATAAAAAAATAAAAATGTAGGCCTTGAATCATTTGGAGTCCCTCAGAGGAGTCACATCGCCTCAAAAATCCTCATCATGGTTTGACACCACTACATTATTAATACTAATGAAAAGCTTTCTTTGGTATTTTTTACATCTTTTTAATTTCCCTTATTCTTCTTCTACCGGTTTTAATTCTGCTTGTTTGTCTTCTTCTGCTGCACATGGATTCTGTCTGTTTTCCTGTTTGCTTCCTGTTCCATCTTGCTGGTGACAGTCTGATCCTGGAGAAGGAGTCTGTGATTGGTCCTCGTGTCCTTGCTCTCTCTCCGTCTCCTCTCTCAGCTGCTGCAGAGCCCCTGCACTGCTGTCTCTCTGCTGCTGTGACTCATCAGGATGAAAACAATCCTTTTCTTTTCCAATCTCCTCTGTAGTCACAGTGTCGGTGTCACAGTTCCGCGGCCCCGTCTCCAGACACATCTGTCTGCGAATGGTCCGTCGATGCTTGCTGCGGCGAGACTGGTTGCAGTGCAGGGTGCGCCTGCGATGCCATTGGTTAAGAGACTGCTGGGCCTCCACGCTGAGCTGACGAGCTGCCAGTCGTGGACGGAAACTGCTGATGTAGTAGAGAGAGGCGTACAGAGTTGTGAGGTAGTAGCCACCTGTTGATGTGGGGAATGAAGGAAAGGAAACAGTCTGTGACTTCGAATTGTAATTTAGCAGCACAGACATAGTTTAGTCACTGAGTTTAGGGCATGAGGTCATTCCCAAATCATAAGGAAATAGTAGCAGGTAGTAGCAACAAACTTGCAATTCACTAAGTCTGATGTTTGACTTTGTTTTACATTTACATTTTATTATAAGGAATATGTGTGTTTTGGAGAAAACTGTATTCATGCAGGTGAAATTGAATGGGAAATCGAATATCCTGTTATTATTATTATTATAATTTACTGCATAATTTTGAGTGTCCATTATAAAGGGTCGAATGAAGGAATGAACAAAGAAGGGATTTTGGGGCTGCGTCCTTCAGAGGCTGAATTGGAGGACCGAATGCGTCACAGGGGCAGGAATAGGCGGTCCCATTTTGAAGACCTCTTCCAATGCAGCAGAGAAATGTGTTCTTTAATTCTAGAGAAATAAAAGCTTCAATGTTGGAACCCCCCCCCCCCCCAGTATCATGACACATGTAAAAAAAAAACATGGGGCATTATAACTTCCTCCTTGTGCCCAAATTACGCTCAGTTGCTGGGCAACATGAAAAGGGGCAGTACAAAGGGACTTTATAGAACAGACCATCTCGTTTCCGTTTCGTCTGAATTGTGGTCTGTGTGGCCCACAAAGACCGCCTCCTTCTGGAGAGGTGTCACAAAGTAAATTTACTTTCTCGCTGTCACCCCGGACACCAAATCTTCTCATATGGTTTGTAACCATTAACTTTATTTCACATAGGATTTTCTTTGAGTGAAACTGAAACAAAGAGAAAACCTTTTAACAAGTTTTCAAACTCACAAACTGATTCGGAGAGCAAACTATGGGTGTGAAAAAGAAAACTTAACAGCGCATGTGAGCAGTTCCAGGAAACATGAAGACTTACAAATCAGCCAATGTGCCCACCTACAGGGGTGGTGGATATTTTTACATCCTATTTTTTACTATGTGGGTTATGGTAGAAATGTGTGTGCAGCATAAGAATGTGTATCTGTACCCTCTCCCTGTAGCTGTGTGGGGTCCAGGAGCTCCATCATGTAGTCTGTGTCCAGCTGTATGGTGACCACATCGCTTCGGAGCAGCACCCATGTCAGGCAGGGCAGAAAATCATCTGCTCCAAATACTGTACCTGCAGGAAAGGAGAGAATGTATTTAAAAGGACATTAAGAGACAAACAAGGAGCCAGTCCACTCACAGAGACAAGACAGACAGAACTAGAGAAGTAAAAATCACGACCAGTTTACCTGAGCTACAGTTTGTACTCATGCTCTCATAGATGCTCTTGCAGACTTTGAGCAGGATCTTGACCTTCTTGTTCGGGGAGTAGGCTTCATGCATCGCCGTCCACCTCTGCTGGATTCGCTCCAGGCTGATGCTGTCAGGAACCCCAACTCCTGCTGACCCTCCCAGCTCCTCCACCTCATTCTTTTCCAGCACATGCAGATTGCTCTGGAGAGACTTGAAGCTGCCATCATTAGTGCGGGAGGTGTGAATGCAGGAGTAGAGGTGGGTGGAGACGGGCTTCAGAGCCACTTTGTGGAGGGAGAGCTCCACCAATGAGTCTGCAGCGGGTTGAGGAAGGTAATTGAAGTCAGAGGAGAACCAATCAATCATCTACTGAGTTATGACTTTAACAACACAAGTTCTTTCAATAAAACACACAGCTGAGATTTAGATTTATCCATCTTCTGTCAAAGTTCACCGTTTGCTCACTCACCTATCTCTGAGTCGCTCAGATCAGTAATGCTGTCCAACAACGCCTGGATTTCTGGGTAGTCCAGCAGAGTCTCCCTCAGCGATGAAAGTGATGATCTTACTTCCTGTAGGAATTCTGACCCCGTGACCCCATCGGAATCAGCCCCTCCCTTCTGCGTCGCCTCCACGAATCCTCTCACGGCCTCTGCAAATGAACTGCCTCTCCGCTCGCTCATCTCTTGCACACGATTGGAGAGTCTTTTCTTCTGACATACCAGCCCGCCGAGCACTTGGCCCACTGCAGAGAGCCGATGTATGACCTTGTCGGCCAAACGGTGCGCTGACGGGTGGTGGAGTGTAGGGCTTTGAATTTGGGACTCCTGCTCCTCCTCAATGCTGCTGACTGACAGCGAGTCGAGCTCCAGAGACGGGGGGTGGAGCAAGGATGAGGGCCTGGGTGGGGGCAGCCAGAATCCATCTTCGATCCAGGACACCCTGTGAGGGGACTGAGGGAGGGGGCTGCCGCGGTGCGGCAGCTCGGACGCGGCGCAATTTAAAGTTTCAGGTGTGGAGGGAGGAGATGAATCCAGGCTCTCCATGCTTGCTCTGGGTGGGGGGCTGCAGGTGGAAGTCCGGCTTGGCCTCCTGAGGACCACCTCTGCTGTGGCAGCTGGTGTTGATGGGGTTTGTGAATCAGCTGATCTAGCTCTGGTTAGACCTGGATAAGGAGACAGAGTATGAACACCACGTTACTGTGACTGCAGCTTTTAAGGCAACGTATGTCCCTTTTTCATCGTTCAAAAAACCCACTAACAATTGCATTTTGTTTGCAACGGGAATTGATTCAATCTTCATTCACTCCTTGTTCAAATGTCTCTGCAGTAGACAAGAGTTTGAATTGTCTCCAGCTCTGATCAGCAGTGATTGAAAGGAGACACACGGCTAAGCTAACCTACCTGTGCCTGTAGCTTCATATTTTAGTGACAGATTTGAGCGGTGTCAATCTTCTTAACCCATAATTAGCAATAAAGCTGATGAGTGGACTTCCCTGCAGTGTCTTTGTAAAATGATGACAGTATGGGTCTGTCAATTTCTCTGGTTAACTTGGACCGAAACACATTGTTGCAGAGTGTTTTAATTATTTTTACATGCAGAGTATCTGGGTTATATCTAAACGCTTGGTCAAACATTCCTCCAGGGAATGGAGAACGTAAGTTTATGTGGGTGAACTGACCCAAAAGTGGGAGAAGCACATTTCTGAGAATATCTTTCAGTGCAGTGTTTATTTCCACCAAGGTCCAACAGTCTCCCTGTGAAACCACATTTAAATTCACAAGATCCAGATTTTTATATGGATCTGCATCAAATTACACACACTCATAAATATCAGCTGCCTAAAAATACCTGATTTTCATTAAGATCTGAGAAGGAGTCTGAGAAATCCACAAAACACCCTCGCAATATTAAAGGAAGTGAAAAAGAATTCTGGAAACACTTTATATTAGGGAACACATATCAACCATTAACTAGTTGCTTATTAGCCTGGATATTAGAGGCATATTGGCTTGTTATTAGTTATTATAAAGCATTTATTAATGCCTTATTCTTAATTACCTTATTCTGCAACTACTCCATTGATTAACAGTTTCCCTTAATAACCTCCTAATTACTGCTTATTGGTGGTAAGTAAGGAAGTTGTTGTACATGAATTACAATCAAGTGCTTGGATATGTTCACTTTGTGTGTTCCCTAATATACAACATTTAATGGCTCCACAGTTTACACATACTCCTGCTAACAAACAAACAAATGTAAAATAAAAGAGAACCTCCTTAGCGGAGGTACTAAATACAAATTCATATGTAAAAGTAACTCATCCTCACCAGAAGTCTCCACACTGGCAGGAGAGGGTCCCTGGTCCAATGAGATGGCCCGTTTATTGTGTAACCCAGCCCCTGCCCACGGCCGAGTGGTGCTGAGGCGTCGCTCTCGCCTGTAGGTTGATGTCTGTGTGGTGCACTGCGCAGTACGCTCCCGTTGTGTCAGCCAGTCATCTCCATGATCACGTATGTAGAGGGGATTGATGATACACAGGGCCCCGTTGGTGGAAGTCAGCTAAGGAAACACACAAACACAAAAATGGTGTGTGACACACTGAGCACCACAATTTAGCTGTAGAAGAAGCTTTAAGTCACTGCTGACATGCAGACATGTGAGTGAACAGTTACACATCCAGCAGAGATGAAGTAATGTTAACTGTTGAGTCATTGCTGCTGAAAGTTTCCCCATGTTGGAGCTGGAGTACAGGGGTCATTTACCTGGATGGAGCACATGACGGTGCTTGGCTCCCTTTGGGTCATTTCATCCATCTGTTGGTCAGGAGGTGAGCTGAGCCACATTTCTGCAGAAACAAATCATACACTGATTAAAAAATACGCTCTTCAAGGCAAAGCAGTTTTATTTATAAAGCACCTTTTATACACAGACACAAATAAAATAGATAGATGGCTTTGTTAAAGGCACTTGAATAAAAAAGTTTTCAATCTCATTTAATGTTGGTTATGTTGGACTATCATGTTTGTTATGTATTTGGAGCAGCTCCATTCAGATATAAAAACTAGCATTAAAACTTTAAAATCAATCTTGTGGTTTATGGCAGTGTAGAGATTCAACAACAGGGCTGGTGCGGGCTGTCTTTTTAGATTTAGTTAAAACTCTTGCAGCTACATTTTAGTTGCATGTACGTAAAAGTCCATTGCAGTTTTTTAATACTTCCTCTTGCTGAGGATATGAGACAAAGTCAGATAGAGTGCGAAAGGACTCACTGGGTTCAAGCTGAGAGAGGCGATCCTTGTTCTTGCCGGTGACGCTGTAGATCCACTGAGGAATTGACAGACAAACAGCCAACACATCCCTGACACACAGGGAGAAATTACAGTGATGAAACAAACTGATTCGTGAGGTTTGCACAGACCTGAGAAATGAATTCAAAACTATTTTAGAAAAAAGATATTTCACTGAGACCTCATATAACATGAATAGCCATAGAGACTAAAGAATGAGCAGAGGCATAAACGTTTGTGCTTCCCCGTACAGTAGTGATAAAATGTTGTGGAAGGAGGAAGTTTAAACAATCAAAAATAGATATCTGAGATACGGCAGGTCCTCACCTGGTCACAGAGTAGAAGAACACCAGCTGAGCCAAGTCAGAGAAAGAAAGACGAGACTCAGACAGCTGGAACACTGAGAGAGAAAGAGAGAAAGAGTGGGTATTACCCTCATTATGAAAATACATTCCTGGAAACAAACAAAGCTTAAACAGGCAACACTAACAGGGTGTCTAAAGAAAAAAAAAGCTGTGATCAGCTTGGTCACAGTAACTTCAGTGTTCCTTTAATCAATCTATTATTTTATTATCTCATACCACGTGGGTCGCTTCAGTCTTTTTTTTCTTTACACATACTACATGCATGTACAATAAAAACAACATGGATTGGTGTGAGTTGTATCAGCACTCAAAGGGAGTTACCAGTTTAAGGAACCAGAATTTGCAGTTTACCGCAGGTATGTGTGGGTGTGTGTGTGAGTATTACCTGCTCTCACCTGTACAATTTCCAGACACACTCATTCAACAGCAGCAAGTACAAAGAACCTGATGTGGTTTTATAAACTTACTGCAACTGTTTATCAGTTTAGTGCGACGTTTTTCGGCAGAAGCAATGAGTCATTAAATAACGGCTGAAAGTGACTGAATGGGGAACTTAGAGATCATGCACACACACATGCACGTCTCTCTATAGTTGTGAGGACACTCACTGAAATAATGCATTTCTTAACCTTAAACATCACAACTAGATGCTTCAACCTAACCCTCAGCCTAAACCTAATTCTAACCCTAAAACCAAGTCCTAACCCTCAAACAGCCCATTGAATTTGTGAGGACCAGCCGAAATGTCCTCACTACGTCACAATGTCCTCACCGTGATGGTATTGAACCAAAATTGTCCCTCATAACTATAGACAGACATGCACGTGGACGCACACACACAGTCATTTCTCCATACCTCCAGAGGACATTATATGACTTCCATTAATTTCAGGGAGACTTACTCAAACCTTGACAATCATTACTACTTGTCTAACTCTAACCCTCACTTTAAAATATCATGATTTACATGATAGGGACGTGATATTTCGTCCCCACTGATGTAGGTCCCCATAACGTGGGTAATACCCGGTCCACACACACAGACTCACATTAAGACAGACGCTCTCAAACAGAGACACACAGAAATAACTCCATGTTTGCATAAGACGGGTAGCTCCATACCTTTGCCTGTGCTTTTGATGGTATAATCGAGAATGGTGTCATTGTCTCCTCCAGCAGACACACACAGCAGGCTGGGCAGAGACGTCGCAGAGTCCTGCACAACTAGGAAACTCTGGAGGGAAACACACACACACACAGA